ATCATTGCACAATATGCACAAGGTAGTCTTCCTCTTCTGTACTGAGGTTTCCCTTGGTGGGGAAAATATTGAATGGAGGCATTTCCAAATAGTTTCCTAATGGAAAAAAAGCTACTACAACAAAAGGAGATGCAACATTTTAAGGAGACTATTTAAATCAATTTCTTCTTTATAAGACAGAGAACTGTATTGTATTGAAATTAAATACCCATCTAAATCATTCCCTCCATACAATCATTACACAGAATAAATTCCACAAGGCAGCTAGACTCCACAAGTAGATACAACAATTTCAGTTAATTATGTAAGTTCACAAAACTTAAGTTAAAAAAAAAAAAAATTGCACTCATTTCTTTGTTGTCATCAAGAAACATACAGCCCAAAGTATACAAGCCAATACTCTCTGATAGCTGAAAATGGACTTGTCTGTTACTTACAACCACAGCTTTATGTCTGGAAAAACAAGTGAGCAACAGATTATGTTCATTCATTCTGAGCCTGCATGTACAGTTATGGAAAGCTGGTTGATTTTAACCCCTGCATTCCAGCCCTGCAGAGCTGCCATGAGATATTTTGTGAACTGAGAACATTCTCCTACATGTGAGCAGGTAACTTAAGTAACAGAACAATTACTATTTAAAAGCACTAAATTAAAATTACTGAGATTTAATGGAAAATATGTATGATGGTCAGCAACCAGAAGAAATTCTCCTGTTTCCTAAAGCCCTTCAAAAACATTTAGAACTTTTTTACAGTGACCTGTCACATAAGTATTTTCAGTAGTCATGTTCTGATTCAAAATAAGGTAATTTTGAGTTTTGCTAAGAAGTATAAATTAACCCAGAGTTCAGGTTTCAAGGTGCAATTAATGTAATTTAGTATCTCCAAAGATATTGAAGAATATATAGCTCCAAGACTAAATGCTCTTTCTAAACACCAATGTGCTGTAATTGCAGTTATTGTGTATGTGTTTGTAACTCATTTTCGTAATCCTGTTCAGAGAAAGTTTTTTTCTTTCCCCAGGAGGCCCACAGAAGGATTCCACTTAGATAAACTTTTATTTTGCTTAAGAAGGTATTGCTATGAGTTACAACTCCACAAACATCATTCAAATTCAACAATTCAACACTGAAATTCTTCTTCTTCCTTTCCTAAGCACATATTTTGAATTTTTAGGTGATTTATTTGAGTTACTTCATAGGTGCTTGTTCTCAGCTCAGACCCTTTAGCTTTTATTGAGCTTGGAAAGATCTTTACTGAAAGTTTCTCTTAGCTTTGTAGAGAAAAATTGAACCAAAGCACATTACTGCTGCAGCACACTACAGGTATAAAACACAACAGCAAATGGCTCTTACCTTTCAGGCACTTGGGCAACACTTGTACAGGGCAGCCACTGTACAGGGCAGCCACTCCCTCCAGTTTTCATTTAAATCCTGAGTCTCAGAAAACACTTAATTCTCCAGATGTCAGCAACCCTCTACTCTGCAACTTTATATCTATGTTTACAAGGTAGAAAGGAATAAAATTCCACTAAGAGTTCAGATCTATTTGCACTGAGATCCAAGAGTATATCTGTATCCCAAACAAAGTTATTATGAAAGATGATGTTTATAAAAGCTAGTAGTTACTGGTCATGGGGAAGCACGAAGTGCATAACTTGCAGTTCAAACTGATAATATTCCTCAGGATGCTGCCCATGGCAGCTTAGGAAAATGTCTGCTACTCAGCAAATGTCACAACAGAAACATGCAATTTCTCTGTGACACAGACTTTTCCTTTCAGAAAGTTTCAGATACAAAGCATCCAGTCTTGTGGGACAGGGATGTTACTTTCTGCAATATACAAGTCCAGTGGTGATAAATTTCAGATAGCAGAGAGCCCAAACCCTTGAGAAGGCTTTGTGTATTGCCTGCAGTTATGTTCATGCCATCTTCACAGAAAGGGATTATCAGGGGAGATTGTTGAAAGAGACACTGGACTTTTTCAAAATGCAGTTTTGTCCTCAAAACAGTCAGTTGCATTAAGAATGCTTTAATGGTCATAGAAGGACGATAATCCCTGTGTTGCAGAGTAACTGCAAGGCAGCTCCTCCTTAATACATGAGAGTCTGGTTCAGATGGAAGATAAGGGAACAAGAGAGCTGTTACAAAGTCCTGCATATTAAATAGCATCTGAAGTCCTTCACCTACAGGAAAAGAAGTGCTTGCCTCAACAAACAGAATTCTGAAGTTTAACAAAACTTCATCAGCTCATTGCATTGTATTTTTCAAACTGAAAGGATCCCAGCTCCTTTCAAACTTTGATAGTGTCATTTTAATGATTCACTTACTTTCAAACTGTTCTTTTCTTGCATAATCACTGATAAAAGATCAAGTTAAATTTTAATATTATTAAAGACATGAATAAATGTAACAAAAATCCAACAGACCCAGATTTGAGAGACAACTTTCAACAGTATTTCCCCACAAAAAATATTTGAATTTATTGAATAAATACTTTTCCATCTCTAGGAAAATGACCTTTTAATACAGTCATTTCAGTCAACAGGATTTGTTTAGTCTTGTGATAATAGCTTCTTAATGGCTACAGTGAAAATGCACCTGCTCAGAGTTTACTCTGATCTACTTTGCTTTTTCCTCTATTCACATAGATAACACTAGTCTATGTGTTTTGTTAAGAGTATAGAAATTTGTCAAGAAAATAAACTCCCTTGTGTTCCAACAGGTCCTTAGAGGTCAGAGGGTCTGAGTGCAGCTGGGATTGATTTCTGGTTATAACCAACTTGGCCCTAAGTCTGGTCATGTTCAGTAGGAACTTCCATGAGCACAGATTCACAAATACTGAAGTTTCAACCTTGTAGGTCTGGTTGTGGTGAATAGGAACTTGTGCAATCACAGATCCACGAATAGTGTGGTTTAGTGAAGCAACAGAAATCCAGATTTGGAATTGAGGTTGATAAATACACTTGATGCAATAGAGATACTAATAGTAGCAATAATAATAATTGTGTGCAGAAGCTTACCAATAAAAGCATCCTTGCTTGGGAGGAGGGAGAAGAGAGTAGTCCATCAGTGGTCTCCAAGGTCCTTGTGGGTCTTCTTCCTAACCAGATGACATTTCCACCCTGCTTGTACACAGCCCAATCATAAGATTGGCATAAGATTGTATCCCTTCTCCTCCTTCTGTATATCATGATCTAAAGGGGGAAATGAGTAATGTAGTCATGTATGCAGCAGCATGTACTACACTGAGCTTATTAGCATGAGTTTGCCTGTTAATATTTAAATGTCCCTTAGTTAAGACAAGAGTGGCTTTTTTGGCCATGGTGCCTTTCAGAGTTCTTGTTATATAACTTCTTTTTTCTGTGCATTCTTTGAAACCTAAACAGAACCATCCAATCTCCACAGCACCTCCTCCTTCAGCCAGCTCATCCTTTCTTGTTATCAGCCATGTACATCTCCATCCACAAGGATAACGTAGAGGGTACACAGTGTACCCCAGGCTGTGATAGTTAAGCCATAGTCTGCCTGGCTGCTTGGTCATCATCCCCTGGTATGTCATCATTCCTGAAGAGCTACCTGGGATTATTTCTGGATAGCAGAGTTTATCTCCAAAGTAAAATTCCTGCTTCCAACAGGACATATGTCACCGTCGTAGCCCTGATGAGGCTTTTCAATGGAGGCATGAGTCTACTAAGGTCTGGAAAAGCAGCTGGCCCTCTGCTGCACACAGGGACTGGGAATCATCTCAGGAGCAGAAGTCTTAACTGGAAAACTTAATTAATAAGCCTGGTGCAGAAACAATAGAGAGTAGTAAAGATTGGCATGTGAAATAGGTGCACCATGCTAAGGCTGGCAGTGCTATCCAGGTGGAAAAGGTTTCTCTTTATTTAAAGGTTTCTGTTGTCTTATTTTATTTCATTTTAGAAAAGTTGAGGGAAATATATTTTCTGCCTTCAGTCAACCAAATCACCATGGCAGATACTTTCTGACTGGACTAGCTGTTGAGATGTAAGCACTGCCCTGGCAATTCACACTCTGAGGAATTTTATGATTTCATGATCTCACAGCATCGATGCTCTAACTAGTTACATTTCCAAAGCATCGGACTGATGCTGTGTTGTATTTGAAATTAATACACATCATTAATATTTAAGCTATTAACTTGTTTATATTCTAGCTGCATCTAACTGACCAATGTGAAATATTTTCCCCACTTCCTGGTTCAATTTTCAGCTTTCCTTCTAGCTCTGATGGCTTTCTTCCAGATTCTGGTGTAGAATGTCACCAAATATAGGTGCTTTAGTGCTGGTTTAGTTCTGCCAGTCAGTGCAAAGTGAATAAATAAAAACAGCGTGTGAATAAATAAAAAAAGTGAATAAATAAAAACAATGAATCTAGCACAAAGGAATCTAGCACAAAGCAGATTCAGAGCCTTCTTTTGCTAGGAAAATATGTACTCTAAATCTTCGAGATTTACACATCATACTACTGCCGGAACTGACCTGTGCCCCGTCTTCAACTTAGACACCAAGCTCTGATCTGCTCTGCGTGCAGCTCTGCAAATTCAGGTTATAAATGGATAATTGCATTCACTATTATTAAACCTAATAAAACTTGGACGTCACGAACAGGATGAAGGTCACCAAAATGCCCAAGCCTAAACAGATTCAGAGTAAAACAAAACAAGAAGTTGAAAAGGTGGGAGACGGGCGCTGCCTCCACTTTTTTTTTTTTCCCCGTTCCCGACACAACGCTCCCACCGCTCAACACCCGCCCGTGCCACGGCCGTTCTTGGCGGCTCCGCATCTCCGTCGGGCGGGGCCGGGCCGGGCCGGGCTGTACCTGGGCCGGCCCCTCCCCGCCTCCGCCGCCGCTACAAAAGCGGCCGCCGGAGCGCCCGACGCGGCTGCTGCCGCTCGCTGTGCCCGGTGCGGAGTCTGTGCGGCCAGCGGGAGCCGGAGCCTCGCCGGGCCCCGCGCATGGGGGCCGCCCCCGGACATGCCCTCCTCGCCGCTCGGCTTCGCTCTCCTGCTGCTGGCGGCTGCGGGAAGGTCGCTCCCGGTGAGGCGGGTGAGTGCCTGCGCTGGTGCCGCCCCTGCCCCGCGGCGCTGCCCCGGCCCGGCCGGGCGCCCTCGGGGTCCCGCGGGGGCTGCGCTCCGCCGCGCTGCTGCCGTGGCCGCGGCTCCGGGAGCGCCTCGAAGAGGAGTCAGAAGTTTTAAACCCGTCACTTTTTGGGCGCCCCCGCCAGCACTTGCAGCACAAGCGGCGGCCGCCGGGGACGGCGGGGCTGGAGCGCGGGGAGTTCTCCGTGCGGGTCCGCGGAGCAGCCGGGGGTCTCTGCGGGCGGGCGTGGGCTTAGGGCGAGCGGAGTGGAGGAAGGAAGCGGAGGCGCTGCTACTGCGAGGGTATTGCCCTGGAGGTAATGCTCCCCCCGGCACCCACAGGAAATTACACGCGTGTCTGTAATGGCAAACAAACGTAGTGCCGTGGGAAAACCAGAGCAGGGTCCTGGCGGGGGATTGTAGGGTCGGCTGTGACACAGCCTTGAGGGTGGGAAAGCAAAATGTAATCTGTGTGAAAAGCAAGAGCAGGCAGTGGGGGAAAGGGAAAGGGCCACGGAAAGGATGGTGGACAGAGAAGGTTGGCTTGGTGAGCTGGGGACAGCGAGGCGAGAGAGACTGATGGGGAGGGATGGAGGCTACAGTGTTGGGGTGGCAGCAGGAAGCTGTTGAGAGCAAGGACGGGTTCAAAGCTGGCACTGTAGGCTGCAGAGGTCAAGGAAAGGACAGTGTATCTGATGGTGGACCAAATACACTATCCAGTTTCTTTGCAGTTGCCAAAAGCTTTTGGGGTTACAAACTTCTACAGTACAGCACTAAGAGGATCTGTTTAATACCAAACTGGGTATAAGCCTGTAGGGTTGTCTAACACATTGGGTTTTCTTAGTCGGTTTGTTGTACTTGTTATCTACTTCAGGCCCTTAAAGGTGCAACAGGCACAATTTGCCGTCGGAAAAATTCCAATTCATTGTTAAGATGGTCAAACACTGAAACAGGGGCCCTGAGAGGCTGGGGAGCTTCCATCTGTGGAGGTATTTGGTATTTGACAGGCTAAATCCCTGAGCTACTTGAGCTTCGACCACAGAGCAAACTAATAGTGGAGCTGCCAGCAGTAGAGAATCAAAGTGAAGTATGTTTCTGAGCCAAGGGGCCTTCTTTACCTGGATGAGGAACTGGGAGCAGGTGAGAAGAAAGAGGCTTCCATGGCCTCAACACTGTAACTTCAGTCTTACAGTAAGACAAGTACTATTATAGCCTTTTCTGACACTAGAGGGTCTTATCTGACAACTTCTCTAGAGCAGTGATTGTGCTTGTTGTATGCTGAAAAACTGAATGAAGTACTCTGCTCAGTCATAAGTGTACAAAAGTATGATACTTTGGCTATCTGAATTATTTTCTCATGCTCAGTTTAGAATAGTGTTAAAAGTGATATTTAAAGGCAGCTGAAAATAGCAATGCACAGTCAATAGCAGGTAATAAAATCTGTGAAAGATGGGAGTGAGAGGAAGGCAGAATGAAGTGATACAGAGTTGAGGGAAGAAAAATTTTATTGGTACTCTGACTAATGTTTTATTTAGACTTTCTCTCCCCTCACCCCCTCAAACAAGTGAGGAAGAGAAGAGGAAGAAGAGAAAGCTGAGAGTGTACGTAGAAGGAAGAAGAATTTTAGTCTGGAGTTTTTATATGAGGTGGTGCTGCTTACATGCCATCATCTTAAATGCAGGATGATGGGTAATTCCTGGGTCTAGATTTCGTTACAGCATTGAGGGTAGTAAAATGAACCAAGGGCTGCTGGCACACGGCTGCATTGCAGAATCTCATTACTAATGACAAGCTTGTGTCCTTTCTCGGTTTGGCCTTGAGCAGTGATGCCCTGCTGCTGAGAGAGCTGACCGGCAGCTGGCCACTGGTTCACTGCCATCTAGCCCTCTCTTAGATTTGGATTTCAGATCCTGCTTTTCTATGTAGTACTTTTGCTCAAAGGTTTGATAAAATAATTTCAAAGAAGTAGTTTAAATGTCAGTGAAGAGCAGGAAGGAGCTGTGCCACTGCTGTGATTTGGGGGGTCCTGTTCTTCACACTACCCCTGCTTTTGTTTATGAGGCTAAATGGAAATAATAGAGGTGGTCTGAGTAGAAGTAGAAACAGATTAATTCAGTGGCAAGGCTATACATATTTTGCTCTCCTCACCTCTTATTTCTGAAGTGCTCTGGGATGGGAATAGAAAAGCACACAGGTAAATATCAACATTGAGTGTGGGTGTGTGTATGTTACTGGTGCTCCCAGTTGCTATTTTTGTTACTGAGGCTTATTTAGATACAGCAGCCAGCTGTTCTCCCAGTCAGCAGCAGGACTTTGTTAGGTTGCAGGTGGTAGGGGCACGTATAGATAGTTACTGCTACTTGCTCACCCTTCTGAAGCCTGCCGTGGCTGCTTCCCAGTTCTGCATGCAGCATCTGCTTCTTTAACCATGGGTGTGTAGGACTGGATATTTCTTTCCAGGAGAATAGTTTTGAATCCTGATATGCTTTGAGGAAAAGGTGCAGTGTGAGTGGGGGGCAGTTTTAAATGCCTTGTTAGTCTGCTGTACCCTTCAGGGCATGTAGATCCCCTAAATGTTTGCATGCCCCAGCCCAGGCTTGCAGGACCATGCCTATTTTGACTTCCTGTCTTCTGTTACATGCCCTAATGCTGAGAAAAATGAACTATGGTCACTGTCCTGTTCTTTAAAAGTCTTTAGGGTGGGAAAATGACTGTAGATAGAGCTTGTCTGAGAAACAGAAAAATAAGTGAATCTATGAACTCGTGACTCCTTGCAGAAGTGAGGATGGTGAGTTGGACTGCATCTTGGTTAGTTGGATAACCAAGGGGTTATTTTTACCCCAAATTGGTTAAAATCCCTCCATCAGTATTTTAGCTGGAGGTTCTGAGTTACTCCTTTTCTCCGTTTTCTGCTCCCAAAAGCTTCACAGAATTGTTTTTTGGTCTTTTTTTTGTTGCCCGCACTCTGAAAAATCAAAATACGCTAGACCAGCATCTGCAGCACATACTGGCAGAGGTATAGAAAGCAGTGGAAGAAAGGGTGGACAAGGTCTGACACTGGGCCGTTTTGCTGTAGTTATTATTCAGGGATACTTGGCTGGCTTGTTGGTAATGGGCTGCTTTCCCAGGGGTATGGCCAGGTTCTTAAAAACTTCGTATTTTTAGGCTCTTTAAGTTCATTACTATATTATTATGGTGTAAACTTAAATTAGACTATTGTATTATATAATTAAAAGTGAATTAAATTGCTATCCCAAATGACTAAAACCTTTATGTATTCATAAAATAATGCGGGGGTTTTCTTGTTTGTTTTGTATAGAAAACTCTGATTTTTCTGGCAACTTTATAAAGCTAGTTACACTGTGTGCTATAAAGCCAGATGACCTAACATAGCAAATGTGACTATACAAATTAATAGGATACTTGTTACAATATCCCAAACATAACTGTATTGTGGGTGTGGTGGGGAAGACACATGGCATTTCAGGCTTAAGGAGCCTAGGACAAGAGCATGTAGTGTCAGCACAAAGGGGAATGGCTTCAGGCTGCAAGAGAGTAATTTTAGCTTAGATGGTAGGAAGAAATTCTTTACTGTGAGGGTATTGAGGCACTGGAACAGGCCCAGAGAAGTTGTAGATGCCCCATCCCTGTCAGTGCTCAAGGCCAAGCTGGATGGAGCTTTGAGCAACCTGGTCTAGTGGAAGGTGTCCTGCCCATGGCAGAGGGGTTGGAACTAGGTGGTCTTTAATATCTCTTCCAACCTAGGCCATTCCATGGTTCTGTGATCTCCAAGGGCCAAAGGAAAGGACTGTATTTCACACAACAAAACAATGACTTGGCCCTTGGCATTGTCTAAAAGCTCTGATGTCTGTTCCAGGAAAGTTTAAGTTAGTGAAACAGCTCTTAAATCCTTGCCTCTGTTTCTGTAGCTGTGACCGCACCACCATCACTTCCCCACCCGCCAACCTAGGGGACAGTCTGAGAGTTTGGACAGAAGTATTTGAGGAAAAGTGTAGACAGATGTGGCTGGGCATGGAAGGACAGATATTATGGCTGTACAAGCACACGTAGCTCTCCTTTGTGAGAGGAACTTGTATTCTCAAAGTGAGATGGAAGTGATGGAGCTCTGCAAAATTAAACCTCCTGCACTCTGAAAGCTGTGGCTCTATAGCTGAGGTAGAGTTCAGTGAAACTGTGCCTGATGTACAGAACATAAACAGTTGTCTGCCTTCTGTCAGATTTTTAAAGGTATTGTATCATATCCTGTTTCTGCGAGCCTGTGTAAATAGGGCTTTAATTTGCCGCATTGATTGATTGCCAGTTACTTGAGAGGACACACCAGGAGCTGTTATCTCTGAAATCACAGGGCCTTCGCTAGTTTTTAGCTTGGAAATAGTCCTTTTGAAAACTGATTTTCCTTCTGCAGTGCTGTAGGGAAATGAAATCTGTTACCATCTTCTTTCATGGACAGCTCTTGCGTTTCTGTGATAAACCAGTGTATGTACTGCCACCAAGGCTGCCTGCTCAAGTTTCCTTGTGCAGTACATCAGTTCTATTAGTTTGTGTCTTAACAAAAGTGAGTGTATACAATAGCAGGTATATCTCAGTTTTGGAAAAAAAAAATTGTCAGCCAAGTAGATAAGAGACCTTTTATTTAAGCTCTACAATGTTGTGAGCCCAAATTAAAACATCAGGCAGGAACTCATTTCATTAAATAAAACTTCCTAACCTAGCTACTGAAAAAAGACCAAGTTTATTGCTTGCATCCAATGCTTCCCATTAGAAGAGGGATAGGGTAAGCTGTATCTAGGGATCTCTTGCTTGCCAAATAGAAGGTAATCACTTCAAATGTCATAGTTTCATATGCAAATTTGAACTTGTGAAGGGTGAAAAAAGTTTGGTGGTGGTGGCTGAATACTGTTCTTTGATGCCTCGTTTTGTTCGGTGTTGGAAACTGGTATTTATGAA